AAATTTGATCAAATACAGGCTAGAGGATTAATCAAGGCACACTCTAAATACAGATGTGCTATTACAGGTTCCCAGAGTAAGTATATAGAGTGTAGCTCACTTGAGCTTAAATCAATCTTACTTAAAAGTCCACCCGTCGGCAGAAATAAAATATTATATATTATTTTAAAAATGCAAGAATGCATAAGAATAAATGGACCACTGTATAATGGTAAGCAGTATCCATTGACAACCAAGAACTAGCATTATGGTAATGGAAAAACTCTAGAAGTCTTATAGGAAAGCCAGGATGTTCATTGTTAGCACTAAAATTTAATATAGATCTAGAAACAGGGCCTGTAGCAATGCCAAGGAAAAAAAATTAAAGTAATAAGCATAAGAAAGAAACAAAATTATTGCCACTTATATATGATCTGATTGTTTACTTAGACAATCCTAGATATAAAACTTCGAAATACTGAAACAATAAAGAAGTTTGACATAAAAAAGTCCACCCATTTGTAGTCTTATTTTATAGAGTTTTACCACATAGAACTGTGCAAGCCCATGAGTTCAGTCTATTTTGAAGCCAAGAGTCACCCCAGTCACCCTTTTGGCCATCTCAGGGAGCAAGGCAATCTCACTGGCAATTTCAAAAAAACTTTCAGAGCTATCATATCAGAAGAGGTATTATTATTTCCATTTGACCAATATGGCAATTGAAGAGTGAAAGGGATAACTGATATGCTCGAAGTCACACAGAGAGACACGATTAGAACCGGATCTTCCATTGTCAGAGTATTCATCCCACTACCCAGCTCAATTTTAGGCGCAGGAAGAAATGTTGAAAAAAAAAAACTGTCTCAGGTCAGGGGGAATAAGCATATATTAAACACCTACTATGTGCCGGGGACTGTACTAAGTGCTTAACACATTATCTCAATAGATCCTTCCAACCCTAGGAGGTAGGTGCTGTTATTATCCCCATTTTACAATTAAGGAAACTGAGACAAATAGAGGTTAAGTGACTTGCCCAGGGTCATTACAGCTAATAAGTATTTCGATCCAGATTTGAACTCAGGTCTTCTTGACTCCAAGTCCCAATCCATTGCATTATCTAGCTGCCCTTATCAGAGATGAGATAGATAGATGGACAAAGCATTTATTAAGCACTTGCTGTATGCTGATACCTGCGCTAAGTACTAGATAGCAAACAAGACAGTCCCTGTTCTCAAGCAGATCATGTGTTAATAAGGGAACAAAACACATTAATAGGTTCTTTAAAATGGGGAATGTGGGCTAGAAGGGGTGTGGAGGTTTGGGTCCTGGCCAGACAAGGCTAAGGCTCACTCATGGCGGGGGGCAGGTGGAATCCATGTTTTGGGTGGGGCAAAGATGGTAGAAGAGTAGGACCATGATGAGCCATCATCACTAATGGCCAGAAAGATAGACTACCTGAATGATGCCTATATAATGTACAAAAGCCCTAAAGGAAAGCTCCCATTATGTTATTGTGCTAGCACTGTTTCCACTCAGGTCTCATCCCTCTAGGGTTTCAGTTCCAGTTCCTAAAAATTAATTTTTATTGATAGCTTTTGTTTTTACATTATCGTCATCTCTCAATATAGCTCTCCCCTGTCCCACCAGAGAGCCATCCCTAATAACAAATAATTAAAAAGATAAGAAAGAAAAAAGCTATTCAGTAAAACTAATCAAGACATCAATCAAGTCAAGCAAGACATGAAGTGTTCCACATTTGTCTTCCTCCCTCATTTGCCCCAAAGAAAGAAGGGAAAGAAATGCATTCTCCCATGCCCTCTCCTGAGTCAACCTGGATCATTTCACTGCACTCAGTTTCAATTCTTTTCATCATCTTCACATTTACGCTGTTTAGTTGGTGTGTCTGTGTTCTGCTTACTTGATTCTCTATTATTTCTCACAGGTCTTGCCATGCCTTCCTGTACTCTATGGATTCATTATTTCATATGGAACAGTAATAGTAGATGATATTCTTCTACCACAATTTGTTTCACCATTTCCCCCTCAGTGTACATCTACTGTTTCTGGTTCTTTGCTGCTGCAAAAAAGGGCTTCAAAGATACTTTGTTATGTATCGTGTCTTTATTTTTCTCTTTGACTTCCTGGGGGTATATGCCTGGAAGTGGAATTTATAGGTCAAAGGTAATTTCTCAGCATAATTCCAAATTGCTTTCCAGAATTATTGGACCAATTCACAGCTCCACCAACAAGTGCATCCATGTGCTTGTCCTTCCATATTCCTTACAGCATTGATTATTCCTGTCTTATATCATCTTTGCCAATGTTTGGAATGTGAGGTAAAACACCAGTTTCTTGTGATCTGCACTCTGATCATCAGTGATTTGCAGCAGCAATCTGTGGTTGTTAATAATTTTCAGTTCTTTTGAGAACTGTTTGCTCATATATTTTATCTCATCCACTGCCATCCCCTAATTTTTAGTAGCTCCTTTCAAATGTTCTATGGCATCTGTCCTATAATCCTCACAGAGACCCACCCTATCCAGGAGACACAGAACAAGCAGCGCCCCAACACCCAACACAGGGCACTGTCCCCCATAGACCTAGAGACCAGCTCAAGTATTCCTCAGCCCCCACTACCCATCTCCCCAGGCATTGTCCTGGGCATAGCCCCCAGCATTATCCAGGCACTGACCAGGACATTGCCCATAGCATCATCCAGGGCAAGACCTCTGGCATCACCCTGGGTAGTTCCCTTGGTGCCACCAGGCACCAACTCAGGAACGGCCCTGGGCATCATCCCAGGCATCATCCTGGGCATCACTTCCAGGCAACACCTGGAATCTAGCTGTGGTCATTGCCCCAGTCACCAACTATGGCATAATCCTGGAGACTGCCCCCAGGCACCACCAGAAACTTAGCCCTGGGAATTGGCCCAGGCATCAACTCAGGCATAGTCCTGGACATTGCTTTGGCATCACCCAGGGTGCATCCAGCTCCAGCACCCCTTGCACTCCACCACCATTCAGGGACCCCTGTGCTCCTGCCCTTTCCAGAAACCACAGACCTAGGCTTGTTTCAAGGACAGTTCTTGAGGATTAGTAGAGTGTACAGGGATTTGCCCTCCCAGAAAGGATTTCCCTCTGCTGCCATTGGGTACAATCAATAACTAAAAAGAAAAAGTCTCTGCAGCAGTCCCAACAAGTGGTCATCCAGCTAGAAGCTTGAAGACCTCATCTGAAAGCAACCTGCTAGAGAGTTCTCACTTTGAAAACGCTCTCACATTTGACATGAGGGGATCTTGAAAATTATTTAGGTCACTGTCTTCCCCGCCCCACACACCACCCACACCCCTAGCCAACACCTTACTTATTTTTACAAGTGAGAAAACTCTAGAGAGGCTAGGGAAGAGGAAGTCACTTGCCCAAGGTTTCACAATTTGTTCCCTTTGCTCTTTTTTTCCAATCTAGTAAAGACATTTCTAATAGCAATGCAATTTAGACATGTGAGCTAATATTATGACTATTGCGCTTAGCAGGCAGTGTATCATCCTGCTCCTCCCTTGTTCTCTCATCTTCTTCCAAAATGTGAGGCCTGATACCTGGGGCCTCAGAGGCTCCTGGGAACAGGGAAATGGCTCTCAGGGAAATGGAATTCTAAGATTGTTCAATTTAAGTCCGAACTTCCTGCTTGTGAAACTCCACCTGGAAAAACCCAACACTGAAACTTCACCTGTTTGTGTAGATATAAATGCCAGCCCCCTGCACATTCTGCCCCAGTGTTTTCTGTCTCAGCTCACCATGAAGTCCAGGAGCCTCTTTTTCCTTGTGGCCTCCCTTGCCCTTGTGATGCTGGCATCATCTGGGACCCTTAAACCTGCTAAAAAAGGTGAGGTCAGGGGAGTCATCAGGATGGAGAACAGGGGATTCCCTATACCCTTCCAAATTGTTCATTAAGTTTTTTATTGTCCAGGGTTTCAGCTTCATCCACATGCTCTGTGGGTCTCTCTGTCTGAATCTCACTGTCTGTCTCTGTCTCTCAACCTTTTTCTCAGTCTTACTTTCAGCTTCTGTTTGGCTCTTCCTTCCTTCCTTCCTATCTCTCTTGCTCTCCTGTTCATTCTCTTCATCATTCTATCCCTGTCACCATCACTCTCTATCTCATTCTCATTATCTGATTCTTTACCTATCCCTGGTTTTCTTGCCATTGCCTCTTTCTGTCTTTTTCTCTGGGAGGCAGCATGACACAATGCAAGGTTATTTGTTCTTTGAGTTGGGAAGCCTGAATCCATTCCTTACTTCAGTAAGGCTCTTAACCTCCCTGAGTCTCGGTTTCCCCATCTACAAAATGGGATGCTAATGCTTTTATCTCACAGGATTATTGTGGGCAAAGCCATTTATTAAGTTGAAAGTGCTATAGAAATTGAGAGCTATTATCCCACCACCCCCCATTCTCAGTCACCCTTTGCCTACCAATGTCTCTCCCTTTGGCTGCCATCTGCTGAAAGACTTACCTTTCCCCTCCTGCGCTATTAAAGAGAGGGCAGGTTTTGGAGCCAGAGGACCTCAGTCTGAATCCCAGCTCTGCCGCTCATGACTTAGGTGATCTTGGAGGAGTGCTTACCATCTTTGGGCTTTGGGTCCTTGAGTGGAAAATGATCTCTGAGGTCCCTTGGAGCTCTAAATGCATGATTTTGCGATCCTATTTCCTTAGAGTTGATTACCAAGGTTTCCCTCATTCCCCAACCCCACACCTCACGTTCAAGACCTTTCTGCTTTTAGAATCATAGAATTTAGAGCTGGGAGAGATTATGGAGATACTCTAGTCCATCCCTATCATGTCAGAGAGGAGGAAATTGAAATACACAGTTGGGAAATGACTTGCCCGTGGTTAGAGAGTTAATAAATAGGTAAGTCTGGATTTCTGGAGACAAGTCCAAATGTGAAAGTCCAGGCTTTGTCCATAAGCATGGGTGGGAGCTCAGGCCTAGTCCAGGTCCTCACACCTTTGGTCTTCTTCTCCAGGGACCAAGAAAGCAGGGAGTTGCCCTGACGATCCCTTCCGCTGTATTCGAGGAGAGCCCAGTGAGTGTGTGGGAGATGAGCAGTGCCCCCAGAATCAGAAATGCTGTTATTATCACTGTGGCTTCAAGTGTGTGCACCCCAAGGAGACTAACAACAAAGGTAAGGAAGCTCGGGGCTGGGGGGTGGTACTAGAAGCACCTCAGGTTGGGAAGGCCTCTCCCAGGAAGGAGTGGCTGCATCCAGGGTTTCTCTGGAGTCCCACCAGTCACAGCAATGCCCAAGGAAGGAATGGACAGCCTTGTGGGTAGAGGACATAGTGAGAGGACAGATCAGCCCCCAAGGCAATGAGCCACAGTCCTAGAATCTTCTAGGTCTGAGACTACTGGGAGCAGGAGGCAGGAGGGGAAAGGGAGATTTCTCCCTAGGAAGCCAGGAACTGAAGGCTTAAGATGTGGGTTGTGATGAGGTTCCAGATGTTAGCTATGGCGGGCCTCCTCGCACTGGAGAGAGATGCTGTTGGGTCAGCCTGCCCATCAGGGCAGGAGGTGGGAGCTCCAAATTTGGATTGTATCAGATTACTCTGGGACCAGATAGGGATGCCCTGTGGGTGGCCCATCCAGTAGAAAGTGAGCTGAAGAGATGTATCCTAGAGACTGACTTGTCTTGGTCATACCTTTGTTAACTCCAGCAAAGGCAGGGCAGTGTCCACCTAAGACGAACTTGTGTCTGACCCCAAACCAGTGTGAAGATGATGGGCACTGTCTGGGTAACATGAAGTGCTGTGAGGGCATGTGTGGGAAGGTCTGCACAGTTCCAGTAACAGGTATGGAGGGTGCCTAAGCTCAGTCCCCTTCTTTCCTCTTTTTCCTTTATTTATCCCTTTTTCCTAACCTCAGAGCTGGAATCCCAAAGGGAGGGCACAATTCTTCTCTTTCTTTCTCTCTGTATCTCTCTCTTCTCCATGTCTCTTTCTCCCTTTCTCTCTTGCACCATCTCCCTCTGCCCCTTCCACCTCCAACCACCAAACCAATCATCCTAGGAAATAGGACTGTCCATTACAGATTTTTCAGTCTGAGAGCTCCAGCCCTGGGACTCCTTCCTGATGTGACAGGTACTTTGACTTGGGGATGGAATGTGGGAACAAAACGTATAGATCACTCAGCCAGGGCCTAGACTTCTAGGCAGGTGCCCTGGCCATAAGCATGGATGGAAGTACAAGGCTAGTTCCCATGCTTACACTTTCTCCAGGATCCAAGAAAGCTGGGAGTTGCCTACCTCTCCCTAGATTCCTTCTGCTCTATTCATGCTGAAACCAGCCAGTGCCACAGTGCTGAGCAGTGTCCAACGAAGCAGAAATATTGTGATTACCACTGAGACTTTTAATGCGTGAGCCCTGAGGATATTAAAGACTGAAATGAGGAAACCTTGGCTGGATCAGAGTTATGGGCAAGGAGGAAAAGGGCACAGAGACCCCAGAGAATGAGGCTGGGGAGACCGCAGTAGAGAAGGACAGACCAGCATCAGAGAGGGAAAGAAGAGAGGCCAGAAGCATTAGAATTGAGGCTGGGGAGGCCAAGGACAGAAGGCAAGACCACAGTTCTAGAGGCCTTTGGGCCTAGGCCTGAGACTGCTAGAGTAGAAAGAAGGAACAGAGATTCCAGCTGATTCCAGGGATTGGGAGCTGGGGTAAGACCCCTGGCCCTGGTAGGAAATGCCCTCTGAGGAATTTTCCTCCCTCTCCATTTTAATCAAAGCCAGGGAAACACCCCAAACTCCAGGGCCAGTGTAACACAGTCACTGTGAGGGGTAAAGGAAGTGCTAGGCCCCCTTGAAGCGGTATAAGGGGATGCAGGGGGACATCTCCATGTCCTCAGAAGATATGGAATCTATGTGATTTCAGCCCACCCCTCCCCCAAACTAATAGCATCCAGCTGTTCCCATTGTTCAATACCCTTGGCCCTCACACCCACGCAGGACCCTTGGCCCAGATCTCCTTTCCCCTCATTCTCTGACCCGGGAGCTTTCTCTCTGCATCCTACATGAGTGGGCAGATGAGAGAGGGAGGGGGTACAGGGACTCTCCTCCCAAGCAAAGCCACCATCTCCTGAGCCACTGTTAAGCCAATGCTCGGTTTAGACACATCCTTCCCACAGTTCATTTCCAGCTACTAAGGTGATGAGATGTTGGCTTGTGGAATGAGCGTGGAATCTGGAGCCAGAAGATCTGGGTTCAAATCCCAGCACTTCATGTTTCTGGCCTCATTTTTCCTCCTAAAAAGGAGGGTGTTGGACTAGATTATTTTGAAGATTCCTTCTAGTGCTAAATCCTTTGAAACTTATAACAAACTAAGTGGCCTTCTGAGAATTCCCCGGTGCCCAATGTTTCCTGAGCAGGGTTTATTTTCCTAGTAGTTTGACTTCTACCTTGGACCTTCATCTTCTGATCTAGAAAAGAAATAAGTATTCATTAAATACCCACTATACGCCTGGTACTATGCTAAGGGCTTTACAAATATTATTTTGTTTGATCCTATTATTATCCCCATTTTACGGTTGGGAAAACTGAGGCTAAGTGACTTGCTCAGGGTCACACAGCCAGGATTTGAACTCAGGTCTTACCTGATTCCAAGCCTTGCCCTCTATCCACTGTACCACCTGGCTGCCTGTTGACATTTAACCAGCCAACACAGGATGAAGCTATGTTGACTGGCTGAACTATCAATTTGGCAGTTAGGTGGTGCTGCAGTGGATAGAGTGCCAGGACTGGAGTCAGGAAGACTCATTTCCCTGAATTCAAATCTGGCCTCAGACACTTACAAGCTGTTGCCTCAGTTTCCTCAACTGTAAAATGAGCTGGGGAAGAAAATGGCAAACCACTCTAGTGTCTTTTCCAAGAAAACCCCAAATGGGGTCACAAAGAGTTGAATCCAACTGAAACGAACAAACAACAACAGTCAATCAGAATCTGCCAGTCAACCATGATTTTAATCGATTAAATTGTCACTACTGATTGACAACTAAAGTATGCAGTAGCATTTGGTTGAAAGAAGGAAAGGAGTAGTGAATTCGGTTTTGCATGCTCTAAAGCTAATGGCAGGATCTGCTGGTCCTAGGTCCCTGCAAGAACACTCACATCTTCTATAGCGAATTTCTCTTTACCCAGGACTAGATACAGTTTGATACCATTTTCTTGTACACTTAATGTTGCAATTCATGATCTCAGGATGTCCTGTCCTTCCATCTTCTTTGTTCCTGGACAGACAGGCTAGCATCTGAGAGAGCCAGGGCCGGATTGGGGGTGGGGGAGAGGGGTCATAGTTTAGAACCTCAAAGCCCTGCTCTGGTTTTCTCTCCTTAGACTGATTTCTGCCCTTGAGATGAAGTCAGACTCCGTAGACCCAGACTCCATGAAGACAATGTTCTCTGCCATCAGGACTCTCTCCAGGAAGTGGGGGAGTATCTCTCATATCCAGGGCTTGTCACCAATAACTTCTAGAGATTGAAAGGCCCTATCTTCTTCTCTGTATTCCTTTCAGCCTGAGTACAGAGCTTAGCATATAGTATACACTCAGTAAATCACCTTTGGGGTAACCCGCACCCCAAGCTTTAGTGCAGTATGAAACACTGGCCCTATGGGGCGGGGGTTGGGGTGGGCTATCGGTTGTTCTGGTGTTACATGGGCCACTTCGCTGTGACCACGTGGTGTCTGGTTTGTGGTTTCTATACATTTGCTCATGATAGGCATGAAAATATATTTGCTTACTAGGATTTTCTACCTGTGATTGCCATCCTTCCTCTGGTGAATGTGAATGAATTGATATTGCTTGCTGGAGGAGACATGCATGCATCCACACATTTATGCACATATATGATAGCAACCAATTAATATTAATTAATATTCATAATTGAGTCCTTTTTCTCCATGTTAGAATCTTTGCATCCCTATTTCTCATAGAATCTGAGTTAGCATTCACATGTATAATCCTCAGGGGAAAAGCTAGAAGCACCTCCAACCTAAGGCCTTCACTCCTCATTGTTTTTGTTGTTGTTGTTGTTTTTTTGGCTAGGCAATGGGGTTAAGTGACTTTCCCAGGGTCACAATTGTTATGTGTCTAAGGCCAGATTTGAACTCAGGTCCTCTTAACTCCAGGGTTGGTGCTCTATCCACTGTACCACATAACTGCCCCTCTTCACTCCTCATTGAAGAAAACAATCCAAGGCCAAGGTTAGGCAATTCAGAGGCAAAATTCCCTGGAAAGACTCATACCTATATTAATTGGTTACTATAATATACATGTAAAATATATATGCACATACATTTATGTATATACACATACTCAGTATGTGATCATAGGCTCTGTGTTGTCTTTGACTTCCACAAAGCTCCCCCAAAATTCCCATTTAATTTCTTATGCTGACCTGAGATATATGGAAACTGTGATGGGGAAAGCTGTGATGTGGAAGAGATAACTGTATTATCTCACTTGATCTTCATAACAACCCTGGGAAGTGGATGTCATTATTATGCTTATATTCATGTACACATAATGTATATATTCATACATATATATGCATATGTGTGTAGTTTAATTTCTTCTTGCTTTCTTTTGCATTAACCCCTAAAACGAGCCAAGGAAATTTCCCCAAGTATAACTTCATGGATAAGGGTCCACCTGGGCACAAATGGCCTCATACTACCTGAGGCCATAGCTAAGATCTTCTGCATCCCCTTTTTTCTTTACTTTAAGTCTATGGGAGAATCCCCCATCCTATGATTGGCATCCCCTTTAACCAATTTGGGTATTCAATTGTCCCAAATCTTAGCTCTGGAAGCAGCAGTAATAGGAGCATACATCTTGATCTAGGAGCCTTGCTCCCCACCAAATACCATCACAGAACCACTGAAAACAAGGAGCACTCCAACACCCATCAGATAGGGGATTTCTCTTGTACAGCAAGAGAAAGCTGGAAGGTTGTCTTGGGACTGATTATTCTACCACCTCACCCTCTTGTCTCTAGCCTTCTGAGGCCTTGGTGGACTGTAAAACATATCATTTAATAAATCTCCTTTAGAAACAGTAATTTCATGTATTGGCTTTCTCTTTTTTCCTCCCCTAGCACAGACTCTGAAATGAGGGTGATGATGATAGCTAGCATTTATATATTGCTTGAAAGTTTGAAAAATGCTATGATAATAATAATAACAGCTAATATTTATATACTGCTTACTATGTGCCAGGCACTGTGCTAAGCACTTTACAATTATAGTTATCCTTTCCACATCAAGGGAGTTAGGGGCACAGTGCCCCCACATTTGGAAAATCTGCATAAAGTTTTTTGGTCCCCCTTTCATACCAGAGAAAAAGTCTGAATTTTTTCTTTTTCTTTCATGGGGGTGTTTACAATACCTTATTGTAAAATTTGGGTTATTTGGTGATAGGCTTTGTGTTGTCTTTGGTTTCCACAAAACTCCCAAAAAATTCCCATTCACTAACACTTTTCTTAAGTAAGCATCCAGTTTCTCCATTCGACTACCCCCATTTCATTGTTGTTGCTGATGCTGCTGGTAGTGGTGCTGTTTTTGTTGTTGTTGTTCATCCTTCGTTCTTGATGAAGACTGGTGACGTCACGAGGGTAATGCCTTGACTCGCATGTGAATTGGGTTTAACTGAGGCAGAACTGCACAAGGATGATAGTGAGATCACAGATTTCAGACAGAGCTGGAAAAGACTACAGAGATCATCTAGCCAAGCCATCTCATTTAAAAAATGATGAAAACTGAAGGCTAGAAAAGGGAAATAATTCACCCCAAGTCATACAACTTGGAAGTAATGGAGTCTGAGTCAAGACCAGGTTATTTAACCTCAGATCTGATGCTTTCCCACTGAACTATGTTATGTCTAAAGAAAAAAAGATAAGAAAAGATAAAAACCAAAGTAGCACTTGAGTGAACAAAGAATTAATCATGAGATGCTGTGATCCGTAGACAGATGCATTGTCCATTGTACCTCTGGCCCTAGCTCTCTGTCCTTGTCATGCTCTTCTGGACTGGCCCTGGAGGCCAGTCCTCTCCACTGCACAAAGTACAGAAGTGGGGGAGGGGGAAATTCTTCACAAAGGGAGGATAGAACCCTTCCCTCTGATATCAAGAACTTCTAGGATTGTCACCAAGGGGCTTGGTGGTCTGGGGTGAATCCCTTCCATTCTCTGAACCTCATTTGTCTCCTCTCTCAAAAGATATTAATAATGGGGTGGCTAAGTGGCTTGGTAGATAGAGCACTGGCCCTGGAGTCAGGAGGACCTGGGTTCAAATTCTACCTTAGACACTTAATAGCTGTGTGACCCTAGGCAAGTCACTTAACTCTGATTGCCTTTAAAAAAAAAGGGTATTAATAATACCATCCCTTGTCCTTCCCTTACAGTGCTGTGGGTAGCATAAAATGAGATAATATATGGGGATGCTCCATAAGAAGTTGAAAACTGGAATGGAGTGTGAGGGAGAATTATGACCAAAGGTTCTGAAGTCCTTTGTATCTTTGCCAGCCCTGACATTTTATGTTCTAAGGTCCTTTCCATTTGAATATCCAGAATTCCTTCATTAGAGTGTAAGTTCCTTGAGGGCTGACACTGTCTTTTACCTTTCTTTGTATCTCTAGCACTTAGCACAATGCCTGGCACATAGTAAGTGCTTAAGAAATACTAGCTGACTCATTGACTCCAGGAATTCAAAGGTAGGATGAGATTTCTGACCCTTGACATTCCTTCATGCTCAACTCTTTGTCCTGAGGTTCTGAGGATAGGCCCTCTACATAAGGTTCCTATTTGAACATAATTATGGTCATAAGATGTAGACTGATGGGGACCTTAGAATCCTATAGAGGAGAACACCAAAGTTCAGAGAGGGGACGTGACATGATTGAGGTCACACAGCAAGTCAGTGACAGAATCAGGACAAGAACACAAGCAGTGGAAGACTCCAAAGGAAATCCCCTGGCACCTTTTACACAGGACTGCCTCTCCCTGCACTTAGTGCCTGGCCATGACCATGTTGACCATGTTGATGAGGTCATATTAGGCAGCAAGATTAGGGTTCTCAGTCTAGTTCAGAGAAGTCAAAGTCAAGGAGAAAAAAGTGCTGCTTCAGGTACTGTGGGCCACACTAGAGGTAAGATGAAGAGCTGGATGATCAGGGTAGACCATAAGCTTATTCAGAGGCAGGCATCTGTACTCTCTTCTTCATCTGCTTATTATCCTGATTATCAATATTATAATGGTATAGCAAAACAAAGTAAAGGAATACTACACATGTAAATGTAGTATGTGGAGGCAAGGGCTATATATAATGACTCCTTAGCCTCTGACCCTAAAATCTCATAGCTAAAAGGAACGTTAGAGATTTCTAGTCCAACTCTCTCTCAGTGCAGGAATCCCTTCTGCATCACCCATGATAGGAGACCTGATAGGCAACTTCTATTTGGATACTTTTAGTGATGGGGAATTCATTTTTTCCTAAGGTAGGCCCATTCCATTATTGGATAGTTCTAATAGTTAGACATAACAAAAATGATAATAGCTGACATTTACCTAATGCCTTAAAGTTTGTAGATCCCTTGACTTACCTTACCCTATTTGAGTCTCACAACCCTATGAGGTGGATATTACAAATATTATTATCTCCATTTTTATAGGTGAGAAAACTGAGGCTCGGAGAGGTTAGGTAATTTGCCCATGGTCACAGAGCAAGTTAATGTCAGATGTAGGCTATGAACTTACAAGGTCGTCCTTGTGTTAGAGACAATATAATATTGAGTTGAAATCTGCCTCCTTCTAACTTTACTCCCTGCCTTGGCCCTTATTTTCACCCTTTGAGGCCAAACAAAATAACTGCATCTTCCATCTAACAGAGCTTTATATAGTTAAAGACAATCCTCTCATGCAACACCCAAGTCTTCTGTTCTCTGGGCTGAACATTCCCAGGACCTTCGATTAATCCTTGGATAACATGGTTTCTAGTCTCTTTTCTACCCTGATGGCCCATCTCTTTTCTATAGCATCAAATCCAAATTTCTCTGTCTGGCCATAAAAGAGCTGCTTCAATCTGACTCCTTCTATCTCTTCAATCTGGCCTTTACCACATACCAACACATACCAGCCTGGTCTCCTCACTGTCCCTTTGGGACTTGAATCTTGCCTTCTCATATTGCTCCCATGCATGTAATGTCCTCCTCAAACTTCTCTTCCTCCTCATTCTTCATCCCTGGGTCTTAGTTTTCTCCTCTGTAAAATAAAAGGACCGAATTTTATAATTCCTAAGTTCCTTCAAGCTCTGACACTCCATGTTCTAAGGCTTCTTCTAGCCTTAACAATGTATGATCTCCTTCCTTCCCGATATTAGGGTGGAGAGAAGGGAACAGATGTGAGAGATGTGGAGGTTGGCAAGATTGGAAACTGATTGATGTGTGAGATGGAGAGAGAGGAGTTAAAGATGTCACCAAAGTGATGAAAAATTGGATGTCTGCAAGGCTACTGTGCCCTCTACAGTGACAGGAAGTTTGGAAGATGGGTGGGTTTCAGAGGACAAATAATGTAATAATGTCTGTAATGCAAAGTATAGTCCATCCTAGCCTGCTCATGTTGTGTGATTCCCTCTGAACCCCTCAAAATTAAAAAAAAGATGGTAGAGACAGGGCTCTCACTCACTAGTCATTGCCCCAGAGCACAGAGCCTGCCCTCTGAGGAGTACCTGCTGTAGCCACAAGGTGATCTTTGGGACACGGGAAGAGGTAGAATGTTTCCAATGACAGCTGCCCAGCTGCTATAAGTAGCAACTATTTTAGGTGATAACTACCTCGAGGAGCTAATGGCAGGATCAGAAGGGGAAGAAAGGGAGCTTTGACAGCAGAGGGAGGGGGAAGAGTATTAGGGAATAAGGGTAGATGGGATTATGTTGGTAATAACTGCTATAACTGTCTTTCGGTTGGCTAATGCAGGTACTCTTGGATTTGACCTGACTTTCTACCTTCCAAGGCCAGCTAGGTGGCTCAGTGGATAGAGGGCTAGGCCTGAAGTCAGAAAGTCTCATCTTTCTGAGTTCAAATCTGGCCTCAG